TATAAGCTCATTTAAAAAAATTAATGTATATATAAGCTTATTAAATAAATAAATATATATATATAGGCTCATTTAAAAAATATATATAGATAAACTCATTATTAAAAAAATATATTTATAAGCTAATTAAAGTATATATATATATATATAAGCTCATTTAAAATACAATATATATATATATAGAAGTTTTAAAGAAAAAAATATATATATTGGTTATTTAGTAGTCTGTAGCGACGCTTCGTAAAGTGTGGTTTCTCGGTCTGACGACATCTATGACGACGGTACAGATGAAAGTACAGCACGGACTGATCCGGTTGGCAGGCGGATAAGCCAAAAACATGTTGACACAATCCAACAATCCTGCTTCGTTTTCCGGTGAGGTCTATTCACGAATCTTTTCCGGACAAGTGTTGGTAGAAAATGCAAAGTCCCGTTGCATCACATCAAAAAGGGACAATTTGCAGGCCAACTGGTCCATACAGCCAAGCAGTTGAGGAAGGACATGTAAACACTCCATTTGGGTGAAGACCGAGAAAGGAGTGTCGCTTCAATTCTGCCACAATCAAATGAGCAGACATGACGTTCCCAGTGACTTTCACATCGTCTTGCTTCCCCAAAAAGCTACTCTCCTCCATCCTCCAGTGGACTACACTTCCGAGCTCGCCCAAGTCCTATCAACATCGCCAGCGCGACTCGAACCCGGGCTGTTTCAGTGCTGCTCGTGGCTGCCACGAGTGCCCTCCGGCCGCAGAACATGCGCACAGCGCACCTTCCAACGTGACATTCTGATGCTGCTTCGTGCATCAACTCATGAACACGACCGAAATCTCTTCTTCATGCACTTTCTCGCAATGTCATGAGATTCACCGAGGCCCAGTCGATTGCTTTGCCTCGTCAACAATCCCACGACGAAACTGTAGCTCCCCTTTGCGGCATAGAAGACCGTGTGAAATGCCATGGCAACTGATCGGATTGTGGAGCACCTCAACGAGCCATCGTTGACGGTACCGCCGGCAAACATGTCGTGAGCCCGACGAGGCAGACTTTCCCGATCGTCACCTTCGAGCGCATCGTGTTTTGTCGCGAAAGCCAACTTACAAACGGAAACCGGCTTTCGGCACAAGCCAACCGAGTGTGTGTCTGTCAAGAGACACTTCTGCCCAAAATACACCCTCTCCACGCGCAAAATGTCGGTACCATAGCGGCAACTTTTTCACAGTACACAATCTGGCTGAAACTGACTCATTTGCATAGTAATTAGCGCCAACCTCCGAGTGCAACCTTGTGCAGTCTGCGACTGCAATCGCCCATCGGACGAAGACGAAGACGAGTCGAGGCAGTGCCAATTGTGTCCAACACGAGGGGAGGGGGGGGAGGTCGGCTGTTGTCAGTTGACGACAAAAGTGGGGCGGATGGTGAGTGGAGACTGGTTATGAAAGAGTTCCCTAAAAGCAGTTTGTTGCCGGTTAGACGAGGCTTACGAGACCCAATCTCGCAGGCATTGGAGTGGGTGAACGGCGGAAGAAGCG